GAGCTACAGGAGATGGATGGAGGAATCTCGAAAGCATTTATTTTTTTGTGTGTGTGTGTTTGAGCAAAAGATGCAAGTAATAAAAGATTGGTGGGTACCTCTTCAGGACAACCAGAAATGAGGGCTCTGTGTAAGATCTGCAACAGATCCCCCAGCTCTCCTCTGGAATGGCTTGGCTTTGCCTGCTGACATCGTTCTCTCATGGAGCAGTTCTTCCATTTTATGACTATCCAGCCCCCGTCCTTGAGTTGGACACACAATAAAAGGAGTTAGAATGCATGGCCCTCCAGGATCTGAGGGGGTCTTCCCAATTTGGCCCATGGCAGTAGTTGACTTTTCTTCTTTTCCCTTCTTTAGGATGTCCGAAGCACCTTGCAGAGGTACGTGGATCCCTCTCTCTCATTCCTCTCTTGACGCTGGGATGGATCTGGGTATCATGTGAAGAAAGAGACTCTTTAGGCTCAGGACCACAGCAGATGTGACTAGGATCACAGACCTCCATCCCTTTGTAAATGGCAAGCTGCAGATGAACACAGTCCCCTGGACAGAGAATCATGTCCCCAAATAGTAGGGGTGTGTTTGTGTGTCAGGGTTAAGATCTGGGTGTGAATCTCCAGAAGGTTCTGGCAGAATTCTGGTGCTGAAGCAGGGGTGGTTTCACTCGTCAAACAAGCCCCTCCACCCTTGGAAATGCGCAGGTTGAATGTAGTCCCCTCAGCCCTTTCAGTTCCACAAAATGGCAGGTGGTAAATGTGATGGGGCTCAACTGACATCTTGGTTGGCATCTGGGCTGCCTAGAGGGCCACTTGAGCATCTAGCTCTGTGATGACGGCTCTCCCCAATCTGGGGTGCACCGTCTGTGAGGGAGGCTACTCAGTATTCCTGCCACCACACGGCACTTAAAGGTGTTGCTCTTGCTCAGACTAGACTAGAGGATTTCACAGCTGCTGATTGGAAACTTTGCCTCTCTGCTGTACATTTCCCCAGGCATTTTTAGAGGAAGAAGGAGCATGATGTGACCTTACTGGGCTTGAAGTTCCCATGCCTCACACAAGTTGCAGGCGATTGAAAGGAGTGGAAGAAAGGATGCTTTTGAGTGCAGTGATGTCATGTGCTGCAGGGCTGCATATTCCTGCCTTTGCTGTACTGGTGGGAGTTCTGGATGGGATAGATGGTGGCTTAACATGGTTTGTCTCCAGGTATGAAGAAAAGGAGAGGTTTGAGAATCCAGTGACTCTTCCTCTTGCATTGAAGTGGAGGATCTGGGACTTCTGTGACATCAGTCTCTTGCTGGAAGGTGTCATGAAGCAGCTGAAAGGTAATAAAGAACGGCTTCGGAGTGGTCATGAGGTGAGGCCAGATACAAGTGGGGAACCTTCTGGATCACTTGTATCACTAGCAGGGCCAGGCGGACAGGGAATTTGTATGAGACGTGTAGTGATGGTCTTCTTCCTTCCATTCTCTCATCCGGACAAGAACACTCAAATTGTGTCCCCTCCTATCCTCCAGTCTGTTCTGCCCTTCTCCCCACAATCCTTTAAGGTGGGTATTTTCTCTAACTGGTAATTGACTAATTACTAACACAGGTTAACAGTATAAAAATCTGTTTCTCTGATTTAGAATTGTCATTTTTTAAAAAGACAAGATTTTTTTAAAAATTCATTGCATAGATATAAGGGGAAATGTGCAGCCTGACCCTTTAAGAATTCTAATAGCTCGAGCACAATAACATTATAATGACCCACTGCCATGATTTTTAAAATAAAAAGTCTCTAGCCCTTTTTTTTGTGTGTTTTCATATTTTTGTATTTTACATGTGCATGTGTGTGAGAGTGTGTGTACCTGGAAGTCATGGTGACTTCTGGTGACTGACCCTGACTGGGGCCTGGAGGATATTCAGAGAGAGGTGGCTGAATAAAGCCTGCCCCTGTCCTCCCCACTGCTGGTATTCCAAGAAGGTCTCCCATCCAAGTACTTGCCAGAGTGAACCCTGCTTAGCTTCCAAGAAGTGAGAAGATTGGACTTTCCTGGTTAGGGTGTCTCTAAACTTTTTCATGGCAGAAAAATAAGGGATACACCTTCCCTTTTGTTTCTCTGCAGCAAGAAAATCTGGACACTTTTAAAAATGAAAGCTGGGAATTCGGAGGAACAACTACCAGTATAGAAAGTAGTGTGTGTGTGTGGGGGGGAATGGCAGCCTCTGGGAGGAGGAGGAGGCAAGGAAAAGGTGGGCCATTCAGAAATGCACACTTTTATATCCACACAACATGAAAAAATACCTTTTGACTGCGATCATTCAAAAAAAATTGTATCAAACAGGATTTGGGAAAGTGCAGAGCCAAAGCTGTGGAAATCCCAGAATGTGGAGGCTTAGGTGACAACGTCGTGTGGGTCTCCCCAGAAGCCCACTCCAGTTTCAATGCCAAACCAGAACAAAATCTCTGTGGGGAAACATCCTAAGGTTCTCTGGATTGGGTCCTTGGGCTGCAGTCTTCAGCATACTTTCTTTGAAGCGAGTCTGAAGTAAGACAAAGCAGTTGACTTCTGGATAACCTTGTTCAGGAGGATCACTCCTTGTCTGCTTTAGTGGTTAAGAGTCAGTTTGCCAAATGTGATCCATTTTTCCTTTGTAGTCTCAGTACATCAGCCATAATTAGGAACAGGGAACAAAGTCATATTAAGTGTAAACAAATTTG